AATGTAAAAAATGCATCCGCATAACATAAATTTACCAGAAAGTAACATAATGGAATCAATAGCTGGAATATTAGAGCCAGGCATAGAGGAAATGAAGAGAACATTTCAGGTCAGCACCACAAAAATAGCATTCAGACACAAAGGCAAGGCAGCTGCCCAAGTTTATTATCTACAGGAACAGTCTTCGGTGTTTCTGTCTCTTTAACCAGCCAGTCCAAAGCCTGAAACAATATCCGAGACTTAGAATACTTATGGAGGATAATCAGTGCTCAGATGCCACCTGTCATATCTGTATCCTGGTTGCCAAGACACAAAAGGTTTTAAAAATCCATCAGTCGTGAATTGAGCAACTGGAGGATTAATGTCAAAACTTGAGTGATGTCTTGTGTTTGACCTGTCCAAGTCTGGTGGTGCTGAATCTGTCTGCAGTGCTAAAACTATTTGCTGTTTCCCAGTTTTGCAAACTTTAGGCCTCATGTATACCAAAAGTTGTGCCACTTTACCTATTCTAGTATAGTTACAGCAGTACAGTCTCCTCCCATCCCCTAGTGTAGACACAATTATGCCAGCGTAGCTTATTCCTGTCATTCTTATGCTGCTATAAGACACCTCTATACCAGTATAGAGCATCCCCTACAAGGAATTGTACTGAAATGCTGAAATATTTTTATTTTAGTAAAAATTCATAATTTTCTAGCTGAGGATTATTATGCCCATGCAAAAGCTTCATGCAGACCATGCATTACTTTTTATCTTTTTATAAGGTGAACTGTAAACAAAATCAGGGCACCTTGGATATGGAGAACAGGTAGATAGATCTGTTGTAATTAAAGCATGAAACTAGCCCAGATAACCCCCTGCACTGAGTTTCTGTTTTGTGCAACACAGAATGCAGAGTTGTCAAAAAGCCTGTTACAGCTCCCAAATGATACCAGAGCATCTGGACCATGATGTATGTATCCATTCATACTGGAGGAAGAAACAGCTCCTTCATAAGGAAGTTGTCTTCAAGTACTAGAAATAAAAACAATTTATTGGCAAGGGAAGCACAAGAGCTTTTGTTAAATGGCTTGTAGGGTCCCTGCTGCCAGGTGTTTTTTGCCAAGATACAATTTGTTTTTCAGTATTACAATACTCTCTAAAACTATCTTGTGAAACACTGGCCTGCAAATAAAAGGAGCCTTTTTAATGTCTGCCATGAGGCTGTGTGTGTATGTATGTGCATAACAGCTCAACTTCTCTCATATTTGTGTTTATTTTTCCATCAGCTAGAAAATGTGCAGCTGAGATGACAATGAGCTGTTTTGTTTGTTCACATTTAATCTGGACCAGCTGGTGGAAATTGCTCCCGTGATTTTACATAACAACAAGAGAATTTTTGCATTAATCTGAAATCCTAAGAATGTTAAGAGCTATCAGAAAGAATCTACTACCATAATTTAACAGGGGGTTGAACTTTTATTTGAATGGGATTCCAGTTTGCCTGAAATGCCCTTCCTTTCCTCTTGTATCATGAAGAATGATATACATTTGACACTTCAGATGTTTAATGTTCAATTTGCTTCTTGTTTTTACTAATATAATGTATCCCTCCCATTAGCAGGCATATGTTCAGATCCTAAATCCACTTAAGCATGGGTAGCACTGATCACACACTTTTCAGTGGATGCAGGGTTGAACAACTAAAAAAAAGATTCTTTCCTTTTTTAACTACCCATGTACATAGTAACAAAAGATCCATTCTTGTAGGTAACTGTTCTCTCAACATCCTTTGACTCATGGGGGGCAGCACATCAGGATAGCCTGATGTGCTAGGGAAGCAAAACCTATATAGGAGTAATTCTCAACTTGGGTGTAGAGGCACCCAGGAGTGCCTTGAGATCCCTTCAGAGATGTCAGGGAGTCCCATGCAATGTTAACAGAGTTAGGTGTGCAAATGTGCTTGACAAGATAAACCCAGAGGGCATTTATACATGTGCTCTGAGAGTAGCGGGATGAGGGGCACGCTTTAATTAGAGCAGCTGTGAGAGCTGGTCTGATTAAAGCACCCAAAGCATCTCATTTATCAGTGTCCCTGAGCTTCAAAATGGCAGCAGAGGTGCTTTGGAGCTTGTTGAACAAGCTTTAGATCGGGGTCAGCAACCCCTGGCACGTGTGCCAAGCATGGCATGCAAGCCCATTTTGCTCTGCACACCACTGCCAGCCAGGGCTCTAAGCAGCTACTGCCAGCCATGGAGCCCAGGCTGCCCCCAGCAGGTGGCTGGGAGGCTGCAAGTCCTTTTGCAAGCAGAGCAGGCTCCATGGGCTGGTTGCAGCTGGGAGGATGCAAATAGCTGCTCCAGCATGTCGGCCCTCCAGCACCTTCCAAGGTAGACATTGTGGTTTTTTTGGCACTCTGGCCAAAAAACAGTGCCTACCCCTGCTTTAGATAAAGCACCCTGCTACCATTTTTAAGTGTGGGGATGCTGATACATGAGACACTGGAGTCTGCTAGAGTGCGGTAATTACCACACTCTAGCAGACTCAATTAATTGAGTCTGCTCTGACATGCTGACATTACAGTGTGTCTAAGCAGCCCTGCTGCTTGTGTATAGGTGCCCAGAAATTTCAAGTAGAAATCTATAGCATTAGAAGTATTCTGACTTGTGTTGATCTTTCAGAGTCCTTTGCAACAGAAGAATTCCTCTATTATTTTTCTGTAGTAAAAAATCAAGTGAAAACTAAATGCTGACATATTCCAAGACATGTCTTGACTCTAGTGAGTGGTTTCTTGAGTCTAAACAGGTTGAAAACTGCTGCTGTATAAGTTTTGATAAGTCGCACTGGGATTCATTTGCTGTCCGCCATATAAATTATTTTGTCTCATCACATGGTATGTCCTAACAGAAGGTGTAGATCGCATAGCATGTGTTTCTGCAAGGTGAGACTGCATTTGTTTCCCAGGGGTGAAAAACTTACATGCAATTGCAAAATGCTATGCGATAATGTGCTGAGCTTAAACAATAAAAAGGTTGATTATAATAATGCACTGCTCAACATGGGTTCATTTTTTCTTGAGACATTTAACAGAATCTTCTGTCTTTAACAAGATGGTGAAAACATCATCATTTGAAACTATAGTTCAAAAATGTGTAAATACCTCACTGTGCTGGAAAGCAAAGGATGTCCAGGAAGATTTGGCGAGATTTCCAAAAATGATTGCCTACAATCATCTAAAATTTTCGGCACCGAAATAAGTCACTATTTTCAAAAGCACTGAGCTGTGTGCAGCTTCCATTGCCTAACTAATTAGGTGTTAGTGACCACACACATTTCATGACAGTGGAGAATCAAGCCATAAGAAAATGATACTGCCTTGGCTACAAAGCAAACAGTATCATGGATCCCATTGTCCCTCTCAAGTGCAGCCGTTGCGGCATGCTGCTTCCACATGGTAAGAGCAACAGCTGTTTACCAGCTGTTTACCAGCAACAGTTCCCTAGGAGAATTTTCCCCAATGATGTTGTAGACAAGACTCCATAATAGCAACAGAAGCTTGGGAGCAACACAGCACTAGGAGACTGCCATGTTGCTACTAATGGGCATCAACTGTAATAAAATAACAGTGCATTTTCAGCTAGTGCAGTTAAATTTCATGCTGTGACCTATCAGTGGTCTCCCATTAATATTGGGGACCTCCTAGCATGGGTCTGATTCACCTTCTTCTAAGCTCCAGTTTTGGGATCTTAGCAAAATGGTATTTGGAGCAAACCCACAAGAATTTTTAATAACTACAGTCTTGTTTTCCCTCAGGACTGTTTCATTGTCCTCAGTGACAACTTGCATTTCCATAATGATGCACAGGATTTTCATGGCAGTGAATGTCATCTACTGAACCAGTATGTAACTTCCCTTAGAAGTTCTTCATGTCTTATACTCATAGAACCATCTTCCAGATGTTTTTTCACTTGATACCACACAATCTGATGGAGCGGTTTGGCAGTCCCAGTCCTTGGCATGACAGTGAGATGAACTAGGCTATAGTCCACTCAGAACCATGCATGCATTTACTTTTCCAAAGGCAGCCATTTTGGAAAAACCGCTTGGGGATGTTAACACACTTTAGTTCCACTCCCAGTTAATACATTTAAGATCAACATCATTAATAGCAATTCAATCACACCAGTAACAGTGCAGTGCTAGATTAGCTAGCAAGCCAGCAATTGGCTTTCAGTGGCTTGCATGGGCTCAAATGAGCTTTAAAATTGCCTGTGTACTATATGGCATGTGGTACTGCTTATTCATAAAACTCCTTATCTAAAATAGCATGCAGATTGGTTGAAAATTTGTGATAACTGAAAGGGATGCAGGTTTTGCATCAGGCTTATAAAAACATGGCTGCAGATCTGCCAATCAAAAATGTTTACCAGCTGTAAATAAGGTGATTTCATTAAATGGCCATCTTAATACAACTTTACAGCAGGATTTGAGGAGCCATTTGTATTGATCTCATCAAATCAATAAGTTGTGTTGTTGTCTGTGAATTAATACAAAACACCATTTGACTATATTTATGACTTTACTACATCAGCACACTTGGAATGTCACTCTGTATCACATCACATTTGTTTAATCAAGCTAATATTCCATCTGCCTCTTTAGTGTGGTAATGCCATGAAAACAAACTCAAGTTGCTAATAGTGAGTTAGCCATTCATTTCCTGATCAAAGAGCTTGCTGAGGGATTTGAATTTTAAAGTACGTGAAGGTTCATTCTTTTTTCTTAGGCAACATTGCATGTTGCAGAAAGAAAAGAAAATATTCAATTTTTTGTGGCTGCATCTTTGATTCCTGCAGAATTTGTTTACAGGTTTCAAATGTTCTTGAGAGACAATGGCATAAAATTGGCTGCAAAAGGCATCTTGCCTTCCCTGACTCATCCTCTGCCTCACCTGCCTTTGCAAAGCTGGATTCAAGACAGAACTACTTTTGTTCAAGACAGTCATCCAGACCCCAAAAGAAATGAACTCCTCAACCTGTGCTTTTGCAAAGATACTGAATGCAACCCTGTACCTCCCTAGGGAGAGAGATTCCAGCAACTCCTCATTTTTGGACGAAGCTTCCCTGCTTGTGTTGCAAGAATGGACTAACCACCCTCCATCCACAGACGTGAAGATGTTCCTGATCCCTCCAGTCATCTGTCTTGTGGCAGCTGTCCTGGTAATTCCTTCCATCTTGTTTGTGATTTTCTCTAGCTTCAGCATTCGCCAAGAAACAAGGTATCTGCTGCTGGGAAATACTTTGCTTTGTGATTTGATTTACCTCCTATTCTATACCCTGTCTGTGGTTCTCAACATGGCAAATATCAAGCCTCCCAAGTATGCTTGTGTGCTCCTGTTGTTTTTGCTGGCAGTGACTTACTGTGGAGGGTTGCTCACAGCTGTTGCAATGGTCCTGGACACTTACCTGGCTGTTTTGTTTCCTTTACGCTACATTTCTATTTTGCCATATTCACGAGCAAAAAAAGTGATTCTGTTATTGTGGATCTCTTCTGTAGTCTTCCCAGGGATCATCTTCCTGGTTCTGTGGTACACTCAAAAACCTGCATCCTGCACCATGGAAACATGTTCTGTTCCAATAATATTGGTACTGACTCTACATGGAAATGACGCTGTGAAATTCTGCTATGTGCTTTCAGTTACTGCCCTCTTTCTCTGCTTGTCTTTAATACTCTGTTGTTATATTATCCTGTATTATAAAACAAGACAGTCAGGGATATGGAAGAGCATTTTCTCTCGAGCCAGCATTACCTTCTTGATGCACCACACAATCCTATTCTTTTACTTCTCTCCACTTCTGGCCCTTGTTGTGGAATCATTGCTTTATATCAATGATGTCATTGGACTCCAGACAGGAATATGGGTGTCTCTGACAATATGCAATGTCCTGATGGTTCTGCCAAAAGCTCTGTCACCTTACCTTTATGGGCTGCGATATAGGGAGATATCATCATCCCTTAAATTAATTTTCAGAATGAAGCGCCTCAGTCTTGTGTCGCCTGTTGTAACACAATCATAAGGCAATACCTACACCACAGCAAGTTCAAAGGACCTGTATTAGCTATGTCACAACACACAGAGATGTCACAGACTGTATCTGCGGATGTCAGGAAGCCTCATCATGCCTAGAATGGTGTACATCTTAATACAAGTTCTGCACTGCGAATTATGTTAGCCCTTGCTTTCCTGTTGGAGATTTGGATTTAATGTTACCATGAAAAGATACTGAGTATTGCTGCCCAAGGCTGGGTGGGTGTCTCAGCTGAAAATAAAGAAACAATGTCACACGGAGCAGTAGATTGCCTGAGCTCTCTTGTAGGTCCTCATGGTGCAGTATCTGCATATGAGCTGTTGCTGTTTATGTAATGGACTACATTCACTCCCAAAGAAGTTCTTGCAAGATTGCTAGCAGCTTTGCTGCCTTGTAAAGCACATCAGGATACCTTAGTTATGAAAAAGTGCTGTTTTCAATTAACTCCTAAGGGTCTGTCTCATGTACTGTATGTTAATACATTATCATCACTTGTGTGGCAACGTGCAAAACTCTGCTTTTTTACCAAACCTCTGCATAAAGTGATCTTGGATTGGCATCTAGTAGTCAATAAGCATTTAAAGAAATTTTACAAAAACTTGCATTTTTTCTGATGAGAGAATGCCTTTTATTTATTTATTTATTTTAGCTAATCAGAGAAGGTCTGAGCTGAATAACTACTGTATATGAAAAATGTGTTGCAAATGAAAGTTGGCAGTAGAACACGGAAGTTTAAACTTCAGCTTCATTTATCAAACCCAGTAAAAAAGCTGACATTATCTACAAAGTTATTTTGTCACCTTGTCCACGTACATATTTTTTTTCCATCAGTGGAAAACGAGAGCATAATGGTGGTGTTTTAATGTAGGTGACACTCAGGTACAAGGCAGTGAGAGGAAAATCCATGCCCAAACTCTTTTCAAGTAAATAAACTGTATTACACAATATCATTTGTTTTAATGCTGGCCTCATATTTCCTCTGGATAGTATGCCAAAATCCCAGGTATTCTATGTTACAGCACAAATGCCTGTTTTCAAATATACTTCAATTAAAAAAAAATCATGTAATAAATGCTGGCAGTGGTTAATTTATTCCTAGCTGTACATCACATAAACATTTAGCACACTACTACATTAGTATGGACATTATAAGTTTAATATATATCCAAGGTCTTCAATAATGTGTATAGGACAGGTGAGACAGATATTGGCATTCGGTGAGCATCAGAAGTTCCTAACACTCACTACAGTAAATTCTGGTTAATTCACCACACCAAGGGCAATTCAAATAATGACAAATTGTCTATTATTGACCAGTTATCAGGAGCTGATAGTTGGAGGGAAGGGACCAGTGGGAGATTGGAACAATGGTGGATTAAACCATACTGGTAAATTATCCCATAGATCAGAATTAGCCAGCATTTACTGTATTAATAGGAAAGGAAGGACTCTCTAAATCCTCAATGTATGTGCAGCATAAATGTTCATGCATCTAAGTGATAGCTAGAGAATATTTTGTCCCTGGAGGACTCCTCTGCAACAGCCTGAGATTTACTCACGATGCAAATAAATAAGGATTGTGGTAAAGATAGTTGTGTTCCTGTTGTAAAGTGTGATAGGTTTACACGCAGTTATTACTGACTTGGGATATCTGCAGTTTAATAATGCTTGATTTAAAAGCTCCTGATTAGATCATTTAGCTGATTATGTAAATACTGTCCCAACAACACCCCTTGGGCATGGTGGGAGTAAACCTGTAGTTTGGTACCATCAAAAGAGAAAATGAAAGAGGAGCAAAGCTAATTGTTGATGCTGTGTGTATATGCAAAAGGTGGAACAGAGTTATCCTCCATAAGATTGAGGACCCCTTGAGATTGCTTAAAAAGGATGGTCTTTCTGTACAGGTGCTACAATGTATATATGAAGTGTTCTTCTCTGTGGCAACAAATTATTTAGCTTCAAAGTCACTTGGCTTTTTTAGAAGATTTTTATAGTCGGACATTAGACCTTATAGAGGGGTTTTTAGTTTTTATTGGAATACCTTGAGTTTTGCTATGTATTGTAGGTAAAATGACAGACCTTTAAGAAAAGAAAAGCAACCAGCTGACACAAGAAAGAAAAACACAACTTTGAAACAGATTTTGCACAATTGGTTCATGTTTCAGACTGATATAGGCAGCACCAGTAGCTTAGTGTTTTTCCCCTCTCACTTTCCCAGCTGGTCTACCCTGTGATAAGACTGAGTAACCAGGGCAGAGGGAGTTTTAATGGCACCAGTGGATTACAAATGTAGCCCAGACAGAAGGAGGATTCCCCACAGGAATGCTGTTATTCCTGTATGTTCACCCCTGTTTTTTTTAACCCCTTGGGTGGCACTCGGCACACACCACATTACTGAACGTGAAGACCACTCTCTACTGCCACTGTGCTTACAAGGCTCATTGCTTCTATCCACATAGTTTCTATTGTTACTTTGGGAGCCAGATTCTGTGCCCCAAAGCATTTTGATGAGAAAGCCAAGGGGTATTAACCTTATTATACAGGTGAGGAAACTTAAAATAGAGAGGTAAGGTAACTTACCATAGACAACAGGGGATGATGGAATTTAAACTAAAAACACACACACATGCACACACACTAGTGTTTCTGTAACCCCTGCCTGTTCATCATCAAGCTTGTTGACATTTGGGCAATGACTGTGTGCATTGCTCTGAGATGCTCTTATAGAAAACAAAATCTGTTGAACGAGTATAGCAAGCCCCTTCTCTGAAAAGTAGGGCTCGACTCTGGTGAAGAAGCCACACCAGCTTTGCAATATTTGCCAAAGAGTTTATAGTAATGAGTACAAGGTGAACCAAGAAGAAAGTTTCCTGGATGACCAACTGGCAAAGAAGCTGATGGTGGGGAGGCCAGTTATTAGCAGCAGATATCCTGTTTATTTTTGTTGGCTCTTTGTTTTATTTTGCAATTGTTGGGGAAGGTGACTTTAGAATGAAGACAAATTCTAGGTCAGTGGAACTAGGTTTTCACCAATTTGGGTAATCTGAAGAGTATTTTAACAATTTATTCTACCTTTGATGTACCTCTGCTACTCAGTGTCTCTACTATTGTTTGAGTTTGAAAAAAGCCAGTCTTACCTGTTCCTCATTAGTGTATTGACTCAAATCATTTTGTTTTTCTGTATATAATGTAGGGTGTGTCCACATGAGCACACTCAGGAAAATTAATCTGAATTAATGTTTAACATAAACCACATTAAACTCCTGCATAGAAGTTTTCCTTTAGGATAAAAGTGACCTCAGTTTGGTTCACCTTAATTTAATTTGGAAATTAATTAGGCTAAACTGAATTACAGTCACTTTAATTTTGAAGGAAATTGTCCACACAGAGCTTTAACCCATTCTTTCTAATCCATGTTAAATCCATACCTTTAGTTCATTTGGATTAGTTTTTCTAAGAGCGCCTGTTTAGATGCATGCATGTCTAACATGAGAAATGAGACAGTGTGCCTAGAACATATTTACAATATAACTGAATACTTTTTATTCAGAAATATTCTTTCTAGATTAACACTACAGCTGTCTGTTGTTTTATATAATATAATCTGGAGACTCTGGAGACTCCGGACATTAATTTGTAGAAGTTAAACTTGTGCCATGGAGCATTTGAAAAAAAATAATTCAGTCTATATTTAGAATTCTGTCTCTTGATTAGATCAGTATCAAAGTCATGACATATAGTAATAATCTCCGTACAGGACTAAAAATGTCCAGTGGTATTTTTAAATATGTTTCATAATATTTTACTAATTATTCTGTAAAACTAATTAGCCACCTGCAGTTTTCCTAATTTATTTAGTACATGTCTCTGTTCCTATTGCATCCATTGTCTGTTTTGCAAGGGAATATTTAGTAGCTGGCAAGGGAGCTGGCATTTGCAACGTTTGTCTAAATTCACTTTTGCCTTGCTTTACTCCATAGAATCATTAGGATAATATGTCCTATGTTGGGGGGTGTCAAATTCATTCTGGGCCCTGGAATGGATCCAGATTCAGAGGCTCCTCTGGGCCCATATCTATGTGCCAGTAGCAACTGCAGTGTGTGCAGGGCCTGGCAGCAACATGGAACCACATTCAGGCAGCATGTGTCTGGAGGCTGCCACTGATGGCCATGTCCATTGAGGTCCAGGGAGCCTAGATTCTGCAGCAGCCACACATACCCCAACTTCTGATAGTCCACCAAACTCCCAGCATTTAGTTCCATAGGCTGAATCATGGCCCATATGTTTGACAGCCCTGCCCTATGTTATAACATCAGAAGTGCTCCAATTCCCTAACAGTAGTAGATATTCTCTAATCAGATCTCTTGATTTTGGGAGTGCCAGCACTTTCTTTCCAAAACTCAAGGTGACCACTTTTTTGCTATAAAACACATCTGAATCCTTTAGGAAAGATCTGTGGTCCTGATCATTCCCTATGTGTGCATGGGTCAGGAAGAGATTGGGTGAAGGAATCAGTGCTTAGAAGAAGAAACTGAAATTTTCCCCTCATGGAGTTAGTTTCCTTTGGAAATCACAGTGCTGACACTTCCCATGTGCCCTTCTCAGCCTCCATTTTCATGTTCTTGAAGTCCAAGGCCCAAACTATTATATGATCACAGTTTTCATTTTTTAAAACATAAGTTTCTAGTGCTTATAGTTGCAGAAAGAAGGTCGGACATGTGAACACAGCAGGTGCAAATGCCAGAAGGTAAATAACAAGAACTCCAAATGGATTATTTTTCAAATATTTTTAGCCAATTCTATCATTTTTGGACAGTCTTGATTGATTATTTTAAACACTTGTGTTTGACAGTGCTGAGAACAGCATCTGTGGAGGAATTCACTCAGGTCTCAAGGGTAAAGTCACAGACCTTAACTCTTTGCAGAGAAGGAGGCCTCATGCCTCTCAAACTCTCTGCAGGCTCCTAACACCAGTCTACACTCAACTC